TAATGCTACGACGCCTACCGCTCAAAGAAAACTTGCACAATGGTGGAAAAGTGACAGGCAAAACGCCCGCTAAATTTAACATACACTTTATTGCCGATTACATTTTCACCCCATTCATGATTTATTGCAATTATTGGAAAATTTTAATAAATAAACTTGTAATTCACTGTAACCGCTTTTAGTTTCGTTTGCCCTCTCTTTTGTACAATGCTCAGAACATCTGGCAAGGCGACGCAAAAGGTGGCGCGAACTCGTTGCGCATGCGCACCGACACGTTTCGAACCAACCCCAAGCCGCGTCATCGGCAACCCCGCAAATCGCAAACCTAGGAAAATTTTTCATATGGAAGAAAACCATGATTTGCTAGACAATAGAATTACTGACAAACTAGTTCCTATGTAAGATGGAACTGGTTTCATTTTTTTTTCATTTGGAAACTAAATACAAAAATTTAATACCATTGTGCTTATTTATTTAAAAAATACATTTTCAATATTAATAAAATATTATTTACAATTTGTCTTAAAATTCATAAACCAATCAATCATACACAACATGACATTTCTACTACACATTCAAATACAATTTGCAAACTCTTAATAAACAAATCTCAAACAATTAAATAAATTTCAAATTGCTTTACCATGTGCATGATCAGATTGTCATTCATAATCAGATTGATAAAATATATGATGTCTTAATACTATATATCAATGATAACGAACAATTCATATCGATTATGCTCAGGATCATTAATAATCTGCATAGCCGAGTATGTAATTGCTTTAACCTCCGTCCCCTGTGGATGCTTTCCAATCGTAAATTCTTCTCCATAACATCTACATTTAATTGTAAAATCATCTTCATCGAATTCATAAATCTCTAACCTACTGCATATTAAATATGGCTCAGCGCTAAACAAAAATAACAATTCATCAAGAAATGATATAAATCCTTCCAAATCATCTCCATGAGCTTCTATTTCATGACATTGAGTTATTTCAACAGATTTTAACTCATCTGATGTCATATAACCAAACATAGAAATACCACATTGTTCGAAGGCCTCTTTCAAAGAATCACCCCATGCGTGCAATCTAATAAGAAAAATATTGTTTTAAATCAACTTGTAAGAGATTCAAATAAAAAATTATAAACAAAATTCTTACTGCACATCAGCTGTGTGGTCCAAATCTGTGAAATAAAATCAGAAGAATATAACCTTCAAAAGTACACATGGCCTTAAATAATATAAGAGTGATGTGAATTTAAAGTTAAATTAATATCAGATAATGTATCCCAAAATTGCACTTACATTCATATTTCACTGGGGCTTGTGGGGGCTCATTAATAGTACATGCCATTTTCTCTTGTCAAAATAGAATTCCAGCGTGCACGACTTCTAAAGTGACAGCCAGCTTGTGCGCAACTTCATTCCATTATGATGGATGTAAACAACAGGTTAAGCAATATCAGAAAGTGAAAAAAGTAAACCTAAAAATACAGTAAATGTTAATTATTAGTTATTAAAAAATAATTTATTGTATTCACAATTGTTTACAAGTGTTTTTAAAAGTATATTCTAATACTATATATTCTTTAAATTGAGTTTAAAATTTTGGAATAAAATCATTATAGAGTTGGTATGAACTTGGTTGAATGGCGCGTTTTACAAATATTGGCGGGAATATCATTGCTGTGGTATCGTCAAACTATTCAAATTCATCACATTATAAAACTTTTAATAAATAATTGGTAAGAATATAATTACAAATATATGATAATATGGAGTCTTCTATATACAAATTATATCGATTTATTACTAATACCTCACTAGTAGCAGAAGAAGCTCCTTCAAACCTGCAAATTATAAATTATGAAAAACAAAACAGTATTTTTTATCATTTTATTACAAAACATGTATTCAAAAAATAAGTTTCTTCACACTTGTACAAATAAATAAACAATATTTACAAATTGCAAGATAATGGCATAATATTAAAACTTAAAAACTAATTACGCATCCACTACCAAAATATTTGCTCATTTATACAATTTTGAATTTTGTATAAATACATCTAAATTTTCTTATAATTTAGTCCTTGATCTTAAAAACTATTTCAAATTCTCATTCATCTTATAACTTCCTCCAAAGGAAAATGCCTAAATGAATCATTAAATATATCTGTGAAAGCAGTGCTGACTAGGTCGTTGATGAGAGGCTTGATGACAGCAAATCCTGGTTGCCAGGCTGAATTTATTATAGAATCCAGGAAACCCTCTTTAAAAATTAAAATATACATAAATATAAAATCATATCACAAAATGCAATTGTTAACAAAAATAGTTTAAGATAATTTGGGTGCAAATTATGTAAAATTACATTTATTACCTAAAACTTTTTTGCCTTGGAGAAGATTACTTATGTGCAATTGCATGTCTCCAATTCGATCAATTTCAACACGAACTTTAAGACGTCCTCCTGATTTGCCTACTCTAGTAACTGTTGTGGTTTGGCTATGAAAAATTTATTAAAATTTGTACAAAATAAGAACTGTAGAATAAGAATAGGAATTGTAGTATAATAAATAAATACAAAATATATTTACCATGTGTTGTGAATAATAAAATATTAGACAACAATAAACAACAACATGCAACAAAACAGATTTCAAAGACACAACTTTTTATCAAGCTTTACTAAGGATTGATCATTAATATAGGTTTTATTACTTATTGATTGAAGAATTTAATTGGTTAATTAAAATTTTATATGAATATTAGCAACATTACGAATTTACCTATAATCGTAGAGTGTTAAATTCCATACTCCCTTTGAGATTATATTGTTTCCTAAGAAAATTCCATTGAATTCGTAGTTACCATCTAATGATTTTTCTGGAAAATACTGAGAATAAACTATCCTATTGCGTTTTTTATCTAATCTGAAACACAGAAACATTTTAAATTAATAAAAATAGTGAAAATAGTAAATATAGTTCAATTTAGTGAAAATAGTAAATATAGTAGAATAATAATAGTAGAAGAAAATATAGTTAGGACAAGCAATAATAAAATAAATAAAACATTGCTAAAGTGATGCACAGACTACAGTAATAAAATATTTTCAAAAAATATGTTGTTCTATCCCTCCTGTTAGAACAGAAAGGATAATAGATAAATTAAGTAAATAAGAAATTACTTGTGAAATAAATTTCATGATATTTATGAACAGAAATATATTATATAAAAGCCTTTATGAGACGGTGGTTGTAAAAAATATTTTGCTTTGGAATGTTCGTTAAGATCATTATAGAATAAAAGTAAATATTCTTGTGAGATTAACACAATTATATTTTTTATAATTTTTATCATTTTGAAATTTTGAGTAATTTCAAATTACCGGGTCTTCGTGACTTCAGATTGTGTCCAACCGTACTCACTGACGTTGGTCAGGACAAGTTTATAATTTAGCAAACTTCCACCTCGCCTTTGTTCTATATAGGGACTACGATGAGGGTCGAAGGGCGCTACCCCTAAACTGGGCAAACCTAATTGGAAAAAAATCAATAAATTACTCAAAAACAAGAAAATCAGATTAATTTCTATTTATTAATAAATCAATTATAAAATTAATATTAATGATCTAAAATAAAATTCATTTTATATGAAAAGTTAAACAAATATTTGGGTTTTATGATACATGGTAAATGTGAAGAAATTATGATTTATAATTTATATACACAGTTATTTTTGATAAAAAAGGAAAAATCTCGAGGTAAAGTATTATCCTCTTCACTATTTTGCGACAACAATGATTAATTTTTATACACGTGCTGACAAAAAATGTCTAAATTCCACATCTTCAAACAAATCCATTAAAAATATATATGCAAAACAAAAATTCTTATATCATATCATAATGTATTTGATTTATGTCTCAAAATTAATCGAAATAAATGTGAAAGTTTGCATGTTTCTATCAACCAAACAAGTAATTTTATATATATAAAAATAATTTATGATATATCCATTTAATAACGCCCATGATCATCTCCAAAGCTATCACTTTCATTGCAGATTAATAATGATTATATATGATAACATTAGAAAGATATTCACTTTTACTCTTACCTGTTTTAAAAAGCGGCCTCAAATCATTAAAACTTTTTGTAAGACAGCTATCGAATTTTGGTGTGTTGATATCACATTCTTCAAAGAATTTGGCTAAAAGAGGAAATAAATATAGTTAGAAAAAATAGCTGGCAAGATTTCCTAATTTTCTAAATTTCTAAATTTTCTAATTTGTTTTTTCTATCTTGCCTGGCAATAGTAAAGTTTGCTATTTACTTCGAATAAAATAATTTAAAATTTTCTATTTCACTATTGTTGGCATATAAGATCTGCAACCAATTCATCTCTTGCAAAAACTTATAGTGGATAAAATAAGATTTCAAAATACATCCCAGTTAAATAACTAATGTCGGTTATGACCACGATATGGGCTAATAAGTTAAATAATTATCCAAGAAACCATTACCACAAATTATGTTATTTAATACGAATATATGTAATATTTCAAAAAAACCCGTGCGTACTCACAATCGATTTCATTTACGTTTACATAAGATTCAAGTTACGAGAATCTTTAACAAGTTTTTCTGCGTAGAGTTAGACTAAATTTGAAGTTCTATGAAACGAAGTTTCGTATCGTTTTTTAGAAGTAAAAGTTGATGATTCGTTTTGATATTTGTAATAAATGCAGCCATTCGACGTTAAGTAACTTTGACTGTGTAATCAAAGAAAGTTGCACAGTATGGAATGAGCGTCATGATTAGATGCGCACATAAAACGGAAAAAAGACTGTACATTTCATTTGCTTTTACCGTTGGAGAATCTCATTTCATTTTTATCTCGAATAAAACTCGTGATAAAATGGAAAATTTGAAAAAGTATACTCTGGATTCCTCAGAAATCCACATCCACATCCGAGTATCAATGGCATTTTGTATGACCTACTCTATATGTGTAAATAACCAATATAATCAATAAGAAATCAATGCATTAATTTAAGAGATTTATAGATAAATCGAGCTTCTGTAAGCCCTTATTAAAAACTATTCAAGATGATTCAATTAGGTATAAATTTATCAAACATGCTGTCAAACAAATCAAATTTTACAAATTATTTAACAAAAAACGAGCACGAGATCAGGACATGCATGGTATAATATAATATACTAACAATGGATGGTATATATTATAAGAACGCAACCCTATATTCCAAACTTTATTGAATTTTCATAAATAAGCCTAATTTGATACTCAATCGATATCTTTCAAACAAACTTATACCATCATTTATTTTGTTAATTTAATTTAATTTATCAAACATTTATTCTACTTTGTGTTCAAAAAATATTTTTTATTTAAGTGTGGACGTCAACTATGATCAGTAGACACAGAAAATAATTCACATAGAATTCATATGTCCTACAAGCGTAGCCTATTCATACCTAAACCATATTTAGTGTGCCTATAATATTTACAATGTTCGTTTATTACTTACTTACATTGCAAGAACCAATTTTTCGATATTTAATTACTAAGAAATCACCCGACCAATATCTATCAAAAACTAATCAGCACAATTCCCAACTGATATTCCTTGAATTTTTAAAAATAGGTTCAGGTAGGTCAAATTTTTACAAAAATAGGTTTATGCTTATTCATCTATGTGTTTAGGATTTTTGCAAAATGGCAAAACGTTGACAAAGAATTTTGCACTTAAAAAATAAATTAATAGTTCATAAATTGCAATATATCAAGTGATGAATATTCTTGTCAACGCAGAAAATTTATGAAAGTATTTTTATTATATTTAAAATTTATATTCATTACTTATTAAATTAAAAAAAAAATTTAGAAAAAAATATTAACTGTTGTAATGATGTGTAAATAAAAAATATGATATAAAACTGATTTTCTGGTAAAAACAAACTTTTCCTTCGGGAAGTTGATTATAAGACGATGGAATTATATATCGTCGAAATCTATACATATATGGTCGCATTCAGCATTGAATAAAATATATTTTTAAAAAAATTATGCAGTATTACATAATATAATTTATATATTTATATTCCTAATATGGAGCACAATGAAGAAACCTAAGCTATAAGCTTATGAATATGAAAAAAACACATATTATTCAAAATTCACTTTATCCCAGAAAGTTTATTTAAGTAAATAATAAAAAATGTAAAAAATACAGTACGAACAACAAATGGCAGTATGCTTTCTCATTGCATGTTGTAGCATTTGATTTCATGGTATGAATAATCCAATATTTATATTTATCTACACGCATATAAACTACATTACGAAGTTCAAGTTTTTCTCTTAAAAGATA